TTACGTGTAGGGAACGATTAGCACTCCCATAATGCCCGTTTGAAAATGGTACAAATTAACTACGTGTTATCCTTTGATTTTGATAAAAAAATAGTCTTATTTTCGATGTTTGAAAATTAACTTTCTTGATTTTTTTATCTTTTATTTGTTGTCTTTATATTCAAATATTATTCGAGAAAAATAAATTAGAGCCTTTTTATTGAAATAATTCTTAAAATGTTTCAATACGTTAGTAACATTAAAAGAACTATTTCTCACATAGAGATTTCTTAGACATCGCTTCTCGGAATACCTTAGAATCTCATCTTTGGAGGCTCAAATTTATCTTTTTCACAAAAGATTATGCCATGCATGCAATGCAAATAATAATATGTTAATGCACGCATTTTATTTCTTTTTCTAGAAATTTTATTAATTATTTTATTAATTTTGAAGAAAAAAAATTTTATTGTATTGAAGTTTTTTTATAAATATTCTAATACATTAGTAATATTTTTTAAAAAAATCTTTTCACCTAGGGATTTCGTAAAGTATCACTACTCGAAATACTTTTAAAATCTTATCATTGGATAAAATTTTTTTTCGTTATTTATACTATTTTTAATAAATTAATTATTTTTTTGTTAGTTTATAAGAAAAAAAATTTATTGTATTGAAAACTTTTTTATAAATACTCCAATACACTGGTAGTATTAAAAAAAATCTTCTCACCTAGAGATTTCATAGGTATCACTACTCAAAGTACCTTTGAATCTCATCGTCAGATAAAAATTTCTTTTTTTTTTTTTTATTATATTAATTAATATTATAAAACAATAAAAATTTATTTGGTAAATTTTAACATTTTAACATGCATAAATATTAAGAATAATAATTAAAATACCAAAAATAATATATATATAATAAAAAAAATTTTACCTGAACTGGACCGGTCTACGAGCAATCTAGACTGACAGTTCAATTTAACGTTAGTGGTTCGATCCGGTCTGATCCGATTCAGATGGATCGATCATGGGCTGAAGGAGAAACAGATCATCGAGTCGAGTACTTGGATCCCGAGTCCGGTCACAGGTCGACACATGGATCCTCAGGGTTCAAAACGATGTCATTTTGGGCATTATTGAAACGACATCGTTTTGGGTTTAATCTTCTACATAAAAGTAAAAAAAAAAAATTCATTCATTCTTCTCCCTTCAGCAGAAAAAAAAAACTTTCCTTTTTTATTTTTTCAGCCAAAAAAAAAAGATCGATCAGCCCGCGCCTCCGTCGTCGTCGCTGCTGTTCGCCGGTTAGGGCCACTGTCACCGATGGTCGAAAAATCCCAAAAAACTCCAAAAAATCCTCTTCATCCCCTTAAACACAGATCTGGGCTTGGTTTCACCCGAAAGTACCTCAAATGACCTAAATCGACCTTCAAAGTTTCGACCAAAAAAATTATTTTTTTGTGTGTTTTTCTAGTTTGCCTTTTTTGTGTATTTTTGTAGGTGTATTTTGGTGCTAGGTTCTCCGTTCCAGAGGACTGTTTCTATTTTTTTTTTGTTTCTGTAAAATTTTTTTTACAGAAAGCTCTATTTTTTTTTTGTAAAAAATTTTTTTTACAATTTTTTTTTGGTTTCTTCCTCCTTTTGTTTGCAGATTACAAGCTCTATTTATAAAGCTTGATGGGATTCAAATCCCAGATCTTCTGGGATTCAAATCTTATTTTTCAACATAAAATTCACGCTTGCCAAGCGTGTTAGGCGGCTTGTCGGTCGACCATTGGTAGCTAGCGACGACGATTTTGGACTTTAGGAATTGTGCATTTAATGCACTAGATTTGAACTGGATAAGGAAGAAGAAAAAGAAAAAAAAAAGAAGAAAGAAAGAAAAAAAAGAAAAAAAAATAATAACAATAAAAAAATGGTGTTTACAATCATAATCTTTTAAATATATATGATGTCAACTTTTTATTAATTTTTATTAATAATAAATACACAAATGACAAATGATGCTTTTAATAATAAAAGAAGATAAATATTTTATTTGATTGTTGTTTTTATTTATAAAATATCATTAATAACAAAATATTATTGATTATTTAAGGCATTTCTGGTTGGGAAATGCCTTAAATAGTCCCATTTATTTTTTTAAAATGAATTATTTAATATATTTTGTTCAAAAGTACCTTCAATAAATATCATTTAAAAAATATAAATAGATTATTTAAAGTGTTTTTGAACCAAAAATACCTTAAATAATCTCTAATATTTTTTTAAAAGTGATTATTTAATATATTTTTAGCAAAAACACTTTAAATAATACTCTTTAATTTTTTGAAGGATATTATTTAAGGTATTTTTGATTAAAAATACCTTAAATAATTTTTAATATTTTTTAAAGGGATTATTTTAGGTTTTTTTTATTAAAAATACCTTAAATAATCTCTAATTTTTTTAAAGGAGATTATTTAAGACTTTTTTTTTTATCAAAAATACTTTAAATAATCTCTAATATTTTTTAAAGGAGATTATTTAAGGTTTTTTTTGTCAAAAATATCTTGAATAATCTTTTAAAAAATATTAAAGCGATAAAAAGAGAAATTAAACTTACACCCTTATGGTTAATAAGCAAATTCTTTAACCTACTAAGTTATCCAATTTTCTAACCTACAAAAAATACCTTAAATAATATATTTTAATTTTTTGGACGATATTATTTAAGGCATTTTTAATTAAAAATGCCTTAAATAATCTCTTTCATTACTTATAAGATTTGAGATAAAATATAAAAAAAATTTGAAGTAACTCAGTTAGTTAGAATATATGACTATTGACTATAAGATTGTAGGTTTGACATCTCACTTTAGTCTTTTATTTTTTAGGATCACTTATTTTTTTGAGGGATTATTTAAAGTATTTTTTTGGTCAAAAAATGCTTTAAATAATATTGATAAATTTTTTTAGAAAATTATTTTAAGGCGTTTTCTAGCAAAAAAAAATCTTAAATAATCCCTAAAAAAATTAAACAAGATTATTTAATATGTTTTTAGCTAGAAAACACCTTAAATAATCCAAAAAAATTTGAACATGATTATTTTAAAGTATTTTTCATACCAAACGCTATTAATTGCAACATAAAAATTTTTTTTTAGCAATAAAAATCTACAACTAATTTACAGTTACTTTTAGACATACTTTTTAAAATAATAGTGGCGATTTTATAATTTTTGATTCAGGTTAATTTTGAAAATAACGTAATTTTCTCTCCTGAAATCTTAAAATGTCATAGGGAGATATTAGTTTTTAATTTCGAGACTTTTGGTACTGTTAAAAATTTATCATTTTTTCTTAAAATCATATTACCTTGAACTAAATATTAGAATCAAATACTTAACAGTAAGATTTCGAAGGAAAATACATGAATTCTCCCGAACCAAATGTCGCATTAGAATATGTTTGATGCGTAAAATTATGATATGATATGATAAAATAATATTATAATTAATATTAGATTAAATAATGTTATTTTATCTTGTATTTGATATATGTAAGAATTAAAATAAGATAATTTATTTATTAATTGAAATTATTTTTTTCAAAATTTATATAATTTAAATTATTAATATAAATTTAAAATGTATAACAGAATATGTAAATTTAATTTTATAAATTAAAAATAATTTTTTTTTATTTTGATATGATTAAATCATTTTATGTTAAAATAATGATTAATTCTCTTTACAATCTTATCATTTTTTATATATAAATATAATATAATATAAAATAATTATCATCTTATCTTATTAATAATTTTATGTATTATAATTTTAATAAATAATTTTTTTATTTAAAATTAAATTTTAATCATTAAAAACGACAAATTTTCTGTCACTTGTCTTTTCAATTCAATTTTTATTCATTTCAAACCGCATATTATTGAATACTTTTTTAAAAGTTATAATTCAAATACTTAAGTATGTAATATTTTTAAAAATAAATTAAATTGGTAAAAATTTAGGTTACACGATAGATAAAAAATTTTTAAAAAATAAAAAATTTCATTATTATTGATATCTTATACTAATAAGATTATTATAAATTGCAAGAATTTTTAAAACATTTAATATTTAAGACTTTTTTTTTTTATTTTAATGACGTTTGACAAAATGAAACTAAAATAAGAAAAATGCAAAAAAGGGAAGGAAGATTTTGCAATTCACACTTTATTAAAGAAAGAATCTACGTTGACGTCAGTGACGTGCCAGTCTCAATAGCAGTAGATAAGCAAAATTCATCAAAATTCCTGACACGTGGCACTATATAACCCCCAAATACCTTTTTTTTTTTTTTTTTAACCTCTTCTCACCGCCTTTCTTGCTTTCTGGAAAATTTCTGATTTTCCTTCCCAAATACAAAAGATCACCAAATAAACACGAAAAAATAAAACTAGAATTTGCATTGTACACTTTCCGTTACTTTCTTTCTCTAAAAAACTTTCCCGAGAAAACTAACCAAACACATGGACACTTCGCCTGTCAACTGGGATGCACTCGACGCTCTCATCATCGATTTCGCCAAATCAGAAAACTTGATCGACGATACTTCGTCACCGTCTTCGGCTTCTCTCACCTCTCCTTCTATTTCTTCCTCTTCTTATCATTCGAGGTTAATCATACGACAGATCAGACGGTCGTTAGAGGCCGGTAACATTGACGCCGCTATCGATCTCCTTCGAGCTCACGCTCCTTTTGTCCTAGAAGATCACCGCCTTCTCTTTCGGTTACAGAAACAGGTTAATGTCCTAGTCCTCCATATTAATTAATAAAAATGTGCTTATGTGGAATTAGTTCTTTTGTTTTTGGAGTTAGAAAATTTACATCTTTGATTGATTTTTTTTTTCTTTTGAAGAAATTTATTGAGTTTTTGAGGAAGGGAACAACGGAGGATCGTGGCTTCGCAATTGATTACATGAGGAAGTCTCTTGCTCCTTGTGCTCTCAATGCCTATCCGGTAATTTTTATCATTCATTTTTAATTATTTTTTTTATTAATTCTCATCTTGTTTTGTTAATTACTTCTAGAATTTGGAATTTGATATGGTATTAATAACAACTTTTGGACGCCTGCGATGTTAATTTTTGAATTGCGCACCTTGAATTATTATTATTATTATTATTATTCATGGACTTTTTTTATTTGAATTAATGTCATGGAAATAGTTCAAAATATATTTGGTAAAATCTCTGGAAAAATGGAGCGGGGGCGGTTTCATTTTAGTTGATTTTGGAAAAATAATGGACATAATGAGTGAACATGCTTTCGATTTTTAAAGATTCATTTTAATAAGTGGCATCTTATTGCCAACTCAAGTGCTTGTCTCATTGCTAAATGCTCAATCTGGTTTGAAAAGGTTGTTTCATTCTTTAGATAGTGGATTGTTATTTGATTTGGCGAAATAATGGATAAAGAGGAATAGTGAGATACTGTGCTATTATGATGATGAAAATTCGTTTCTTTAGTGGCATTTAGTAATCTGTAAAGAGAGTCCCTTCTTATTGTATTTGTCCAAAATTGTCTTCCTGCTTCCTTATATGCTTGTGTTTTACTGGATGCTTAATTGAGATTTGGAGGCTTGATTCATTCAAACCTAAGACAATCAATATTGTGTTTGGAAGATGAATAACTTCCTAGATATGTGTCTATGTTATTGACCATATGGAACCTGCGTAAATTCATTCAAATTACTATATATTAATGCTCTAGACTTGGGTGCTGTTGTGTTCTTTGAGAATTGACCTCAAAATGTTTATTTTACAATCAGGGATAAGGAGATCCAAATCTGTGCATTGTGTTACAAGTAGACTGTCAATGGAGTTGGTAACTTTTTCGGGTGGTATAGGCAGTCTAACTGCTGCTTATAGGATTATTTTTAGAATTGAATTAATGGTTGTAAATCATACCTATAAAACAATTAATTGAATTCAATTATATTCAGTTCATTTGGGGGTTCTGATAGATTTATGCATCATGTATTTAAGGAAGCATATGAAGAATTCAAGCACGTTCTACTTGTCTTCATATATGACAAAGATGATCAAAGTTCCCCTGTGGCAAATGAGGTGAGTCGGAATTTCTTCTCATAAACAATTTTTTGTATGATTGCTGAATAAGAGGATCTTGTGTTAACAAATTTGTGATTTATGTCTACAGTGGGCTGAGAAGAGGAGTTATGAGATTGCTGGATTAATGTCTTCTGTCTTAAGAGCTCATTTACGTGCATATAATCCAATATTTTCAATGACATTGAGATATTTGATAAGGTATTGCTGGAACTCTAGATAGATATAATTTCGTGGAATATTTTCACTGAGATGGTGTGCTCATTTGTATTGATTCTGATAAGTTTGCAATGGCTTTCCTGCATTTTTTAGCATACATAAAGCATTTTGCTTTCGACAAGGAATTTTATCACCCATTTCAAATCTTACTGAGAGATTGCTTCTTGAGGAACGTGACCTCCCAGCAATACCTCAAGAGAGTTTGTATGAGGCACAACCGTTTGATGAGGTGCAGATTTTTCCTAGCTAGGGTGTTTAGATGTTTCTTGGGGATAAAATGAGTCATATATTAGTATGGATTGATGCTTGAATTTGCAGTGCTACGCATTTATATGTTAGGTCACATGGATGCCTGTAATATTTGTGTGCTTATTTTGAAATTCAGGTGGATATACAAGCTCTTGCACAAGCTGTAGAGCTTACAAGACAAGGGGCTATCGATAGCTTGAGATTTGCCAAGGGTGATCTGCTTCAGGCATTTCAGGTTGTTGAAACATTTAGCAATCTAATCCCTCCCTCCTGCTAATACCTTATTTTTGGAAGTTGGGTTTTTTGCATTGTCTCTGTACTTCAATCAATGGTGATACCTGTTTTCCCCATAACTCTTTTGACGAGTGTCAAAAGAGTAGGTTTTTTCATTGAATAAAAGTTGGAAAATGTGGGTTTCAACATCAAATCTGAATGTCCATTGCAATATGTGCCTCCTCTTTTAGTAATTGTTTAACTATTAACTTCAGATTTATTCTGGATATGAGGATGTCCACTTAATATTTCACATTCTAAATATCTTTCACAAGCATGCATCACTTAATCTTTCTGGGTTGTGGCCTAGAGTCGCTCGTCATTTGTTGTTTTCAGGCTTTCGATTGTTAATATTATGACTATGCATGCAGAATGAAATATGTCGAATGAGATTGGATGCTGCCATGCTTGATGAACTTGTTCGTGAGTACTGTATTTACAGGGGAATTGTGGAATCTGGTATTCTCATCCCATCTAGTGAAACTTTAACATCAATTTCTTTTCACTATATCCTTCTTATCGGAATTCTGATCAACTTGTCCTTCCTCAGGAGTGCAAACACTTTCTGAACCTTTGAAACTCAATCCACCAGAGTCTGGGTGTTGTTCATCACGGGACTGTTCCTTTGATGTGGATTATAACAGTGCTAAGTGTTCAAATAGTGAAACTTCTGTTATTACTGATCTGAGTAGCACGCAAGGAACTGATGTTGAATTAAGATATGCTGCTGAGCCAGCCAACAACCTTGAAGATTGTAGCACCAGTGGGTCACATCAGTCTGAAAATTCGAGGCTGCTGAGAAACAGAAGCCATGAAAGTGGTGAAAGAAGTAAACGTAAGCGATGGAGGGGAAGACCTGATGAGCTAGATTTAATTTCTGATGTTCATTTTAACCGATACAGTAAGCAAGAGATTAGCACTGCAATGCAAGTTGCCAGCACAACTATATCAAATATACAACAGGTAAATTTTGAAAATTTTCTTGTTACTATTTTTATGATAGATTGATAGATAACAGCATATGTTTTATTCTGCAGGGAGTGGAAAATACCAATGGGGAAGACAAATTTGAAACTGTTCTGGGGATGAAGGAACTAGCTAGCAGAGGAATGGCTGCCGAGGTTGTGGAGGAAATTAATGCATTGGATCCAAACTTCTTTGTGCAAAATCCTGTTTTGCTATTCCAACTCAAGCAGGTCAGTTGATTTTACACTGGCAGGGGCTTCATTAATTAAAAATTCAGGGTAAATATCTGTTTAAATTGTCAATAAAATGCAAAGAATGTTAGTTTGACTGTTCTGTTTGTTTTAGATTGAATTTCTAAAACTGGTTGAATTGGGTGATCATTCTGGTGCGCTAAGGGTTGCATGCTCCCATTTAGGCGCCTTAGCCTCCAGTGACCCCAGTTTGCTGAAGCCCTTGAAGGAAACTTTGTTGTCACTGCTTCGACCAAATGAAGATGCACTTGTGACAGGCTTTCCTTTACGTGCTCTTGCAACTTCACTTCAGGTACACTAAAATTCGTAATTTTGCAGATTATGCCTGGGTTGTAATCGTAGGTTATTTTTAGTTACATTGTGCTCTCTGGATTTATGGTTAATCATGTATACAAATATTTTCCCTTTCTGTATAAAACTTAATTGTGTATGATTTTTTAATCTTGGTTAGGTTGCTTTTGGAAAGAGGCTTGGCATTGAGGAGCCTCAGCTTATGAGGATAATGAGGGCAACGCTTCACACACATTCTGAATGGTTCAAACTTCAAATGTGTAAAGATCCCTTTGAAAGTCTCCTGAGAATCGATTTTTTGAAGGAAAATAATGCGCCTGTGCTAACTTCCTTGGCCACATCAAAGTCAAATACCGATTGTTGTACCCTTGGGTCTTCACAAGCTACTGTCTCTTCAACTACCCGTGTTTCAGATGATGGTGGTAGTCCAAATCAAGCATCATCGAGAGATGTCATTTGTGATGAGAATGCAATACTTAAAGTGATGGTAAGTTAACTATGTTCGCTCATGCATGAACAGTCATACACTAAGCTCTTTCTGGAAAAAAAAAAAAAAAACAAAAACAAAAACTTTGATCATTTCCTCCCCTTCTACTATGGATTCCAAGGAAGTTAAGAACTCGAGTTCCTTGTTGGAGGTGGTGTACATTCTGTCACTATGGTTTAGTCAGTACATTCATAAAACGTTACTTAATTGGTCTCATCTGTTGCATTCATTAACTCGTACTCTCCTCTTGCTATTAAAGCTTGTCAGACGATTGGGATTGGCTCCTCTAATATTTAGGATGAATGGTAATTACAAATATTTCTTTTACTGGTTTGACGCAGGAATTTCTTGCTTTGCCAAGGGCTGATGCAATTCATCTCCTTGCACAATACAATGGAAATGCTGAGACAGTAATCCAGCAAAATGAATGGTAATTACAAATATTTATTTTGCTGGTTTGACGCAGGAATTTCTTGCTTTGCCGAGGGCTGATGCAATCCATCTTCTTGCATAATACAATGGAAATGTTGAGACAGTAATCCAGCAAATATTTTCAAAGATTTACTTGTAAACAAACAGTTCTGTAAGTTTGAGGATTTTATTTGTTTATTTATTATAAAAAAAAATGAAAATCGCTGTGTTATTACAAACATGTACTTCCATAGTTTCATCCAACAAATAGAATCGAGGAATACAGAGCACACAGTAAGGCTTTATAAGAAACATATTCTTAAGAATTAGAAATGTTGGCCTGCCGTGATTTTGACTCCCTCAGTTTCCTTTCATCTGACAGTAGTTTTGCAAACCTAGAAGTACCAAAATCCATGATTTAGTAACATCTACCAGAGATAAAAATAAATAAATAAAGAAAGAATAACAAAGGGAAGAAATTGAATGATCATATACCTTTGCAGTGCTTCCTCATTGGATCCACCATTTTCAACTGGTTCGTAGAGGCCGGTGTCCAAATTGATGCGTGAAACAGTTTTGTTGAGCAAGTTCTCACCTACTTTTACAAGGTTTTCCAAATTCTCCTTCGTGGCTAAATCGACGGAGGCCAAATCCCCTCTTAGCGTGTCATCCTAGTTTTCCATTTATAATGAAAATCATGAAGGAAATGAGACAAGAATTATAACAAAACACCTATTTTATATTAATTGTAAAACTTAAGCTTTGATTGATCATCCTACAGCGAATCAATTACTCTGGATATTCTAGGATTAGTTATTTCCCATGTGTGTTTCTTTCCGCGACATACATACATTTATGCTGTATGTGTGTACGTATATATATAATTTCCCCTTTGTTCCTTCCTATCTGCCAGTTGTATTTGGTTAAAAGAATACAATAATGGAAGCTTACATCGATCCGGAGATACTTGTCCTCTGAATGAAGGGCTTGGAAAACCACAGAGATATGGTAGTCAACCATATCCTTGCCTGCTTCGTTATAACAATCAATTATTGGAGAATGATTGTTCTCATATAACCAACCTATTGCACCCCATTTGGACGCCATTTTAGCATTGTATTTCTTTTCAAGTCTGTTCGACCCTGCCCCAAGCGAAATCACAAGAAATCGATTATAATCCAAGGGCTTCATAGGGGAAAAATCGGGGTTCTCCTTCATTATCTGTTTGGTCACTTCACGAATAGCAACCAATGTCTGATCGAGATCAAATTAAGGGCAACAATAGCTTGTCAGCTGTCTCGATTGGTTTGGAGAAATCAGACTTATAAATTCTTTTTATATTAAGATATTTTACTTACGGGATTGTTAGCTGCAATGCCTCCGTCAATAAGGTTGAATTCTGCTTCGTTGTTCTTGAAATAATAAGAAGGGAAGTAAGTTGGTGCTGCAGATGTGGCTATGCAGATGTCTGATAACAGAGCGTCAATGTCTGGATTGATCGGAACCTGCAAGGGCAAAATCTCGACTGTGTTATTGCTTGGCTGGTAGGTTTGACCACGCATAAATTTAACTGTATACCAACTAAAGCCTGCTTCAATCCTCCCTAAAAGGTTACTAATCGTTTTAGAAAGGTTCATTAGAATATCAAGATGAAACCTGATAGGAGGAAAAGATTGTAGGCTGGAGTTTCCTGATGTCAAAAGTAGGAATAGCCACCCTGGTCAGGGTTTGATGCAATTTTGTGCTCCCTAATATGTCTCTTATCAGCTTGTAAAGATACTTTCCGTCGTATCTTGGTCCTGTTAGAACTTTTGATAGCTTGGCAGCCCAAGCCAGCATCCCACTGTGTCATCGAAAAGCCAGGAATGGAATAAAAGAACAGCTTAAGTTGCTTGCTGGAATTGAGAAGAAAAGAAATAAAGAAGAATTAAGCAAGCCTGGAATATCAAAGGTATCTTTGTTTATCCTATGATATACCTTTCCTGTGGGAAAATTCTAGGGCCGTTTTTAAGGTAAAATGGCACTATATCTTTAGCAGCATATAGAGGACGGCCATTTTCATTTGGGGCAGCTAACATGGCTGTTATGAGACCACCAGTGCTGGTTCCTGCGATTACGTCGAAGTAATCTGCAAGCCTAACATCGTTACCATCCAGTTTCTGTTTTCAATACGACAACGAAAGCTTTACATTTAGAACCAAATTAACAAACAACATCGTCAAAACATACATAAATTTGTCTATAAATTATCGTTAAACATGAGTATTGGTGGTGACATTTTCATCTGTTACCTGAAGTTCGGATTCAAGTTTAGCAAGAATAACTCCAGGAATGATTCCTCTGATGCCCCCTCCATCAATACTGAGTATAGTGGTAAGATTTCCAAATGTTGGTGGTTGGATTTTTAAAGATGATCTTCTCTCCATTTTGGTTGTTCTTTACAACTTCAAGGACCCGAAAAATGTTTAAGAAAACAGATATGCGAGACAGGATGATTGATATTATTGAGGCAAAGATGACAGAAAATATCAAACAAACAATGTATTTATAGAGAGACTTGCATATTTAGTCAGCTTAACTGGTGAATGGATGACTTTGATTTGATTAACCAAAGAGTTGGCAAGCTGAGGAACTTCTTCGAAGCCTTCAGCATTATCCTCGCTCCGTAACCTGGCTCTAGCTATAGTATTTAAAAAATGAAACAAATTAAGCTGACCTGACCTGGACCAATTGATGGGTTCAGATTGAGGTTACAAAGTTACAACTGTTATAGTTTTTAACGAACAAATTTTTTCTATTAATAGTTAACAATCAGTGTATAAAAATTAAGATAAAATATTCGGATAAAAAACAAAATTTATTAATAAATTAATAAATTTTTAATTTCAATGATGCCAATTTAATCATTGATAAACTCAATTATAAAAAGAATACTAAAACTGTTAGATCAATTATTAACGCCCAAGCTACCCTACAACAGCTTGGCTAAGTAAAATTCATCCTTATACACACATAATTCGCCATTTACAAAATAATTGGTTTCCTAATCAAAAATTAGGATTAAACCAAACAAAGGTAATTAATTAAATAAGTTCAAAGATTAAAACACATGGAGAGTCCATATTTTAATGGCATATCCGGAATCTTACCTCAGCATACCGATTAAATTAGAGCCCTAAAACGTTTGCATCGTGTTTGGTAGAACAGAAAAATAAAAAAAAAGAAAAGAAAAGAAAAAAGAAAAAATTATTCTCTTTTCTTCATGATTTGTTTGATAGAATAGAAGTAAGAAGGCCTAAGAAAAATTAGTGGATTTGTACTTTTTTTTTTAAAAGTTCATTTAACGTAAATTAATAATTTTAATTATATCTTTACCCCTATCCTTTTTCCTTTATTTTTTTATATTTTTTCTTACTTCATATCAAACACAATGGAAGAAAAGTAAATTTTCTTCCTCTCTTTCATTTTTTTTTCCCTTGCTACCAAACATATTGTTAATCTATTCAAACAACCGAGTTTCTTCCTTATGTCAAACTTGTTATTTAATCTTATTAAATAGGAGAATATCGATGACATCTTCATTTCTGTCCCACATGTATTTTCTTTCTTATTTGACTTGTTTTCCCAGGCTTTCTCCCTCTACTCATCAATCATGGCTACACCAACCAATTCCATTATATTCAAAGGGTTTATCACCCGTGAAAGATGTGACACTCTAATATCATATCAAAAAGTTTAAATCTATATTTGTATGACACATTTTGTAAGATAAAATTTTGTAATTTTCAAATTAAAACAAACAATATTTCATAAGTTAAATGTGGGTCTCCATAAAAAATATATATATTAATCATAATAATCATGCATGATATCATTAGGTTAATTAAAAATGCTTTGACTCAGTTTCTTCAAATCATTTTTCTTAAGTAAAATCTGCCTCTGTAATAATTAGTTAAGTATTAAGCTAACCATGCGTGTAAAACTACTAAATCACATGTTATTTTGCCTTGATCCTCCTTATAAATATGTTTAAATTTTGCCATGGGAGGTTTAGCTTGGTCTTCTATGACTAGGTAATAAAAAAGAGTTCCATAACCCATTAACTTCTTTATATTCAAAAAGAAAAAAGAAAATATTTTTACATGATTATTTCTTTTGTTTAAGACAAAAAAATGTTAAACTAAACTCGAAATTTAATTTAATTGATTTATATCATCATTCTTAAAAGATAACATTTAATCGATTTGAGATTCAAATCTAAACACCTGTAACTACTTCCCTTTTCTCTTAACGGCAACATTTTTGTATTTAAAAAAGTGAGTTAAATTATTTTTTATGCACAACAAATAGACATGGTACAAATAATAAGAGAGAATTATGAAGAAAAAGGATGCAAGTCATATATTTATGTCGGCAAGAAAATGATCATGCTTTGCATAATTTGAATAGTTAGTTTGATGGAGAATTAATTAAATTTTAAATTAGATTGATTTAGAGATATGGAAGATGAATATATAATAAGAGTAGGAGGATAATCTTATAATTGTTAATATGGAATTTCTGGATTCATATATGGCAGTTGACCAATCAAATTCAATTTCTTAATAAACTAAGTTCATCTATTGTTCCCCTATGAAAATGAATGTTTCATGTCTGTTGTACCCAACACCTTTTTATAATTAATTCGGGGATGATTCAGATTAGAAATTATAAAATTTTTTTACTCTAAGGCTATGTTTGGTAGAAGGGAAAGAGGATATAAGAAATAATTATTTTCTTTTCATCATTTCCTTCATTGGGTAGGAGGAAAATGAAAAAAGAAAAGAAAAATTAATGGATTTGTACTTTTTTTTTCTCAAATTCAATTATTTCAAGAAAAAAAACACTCTTTCAACTTAAAATAACAATTTTATTTATAACTTTTTATTTATTCTTTTTCTTTCTCTTTATTTTTCATCATTCATATCAAATAAAATAAATGAAAATTAACTTTTTTTTTTCCATCATTTTACTCAGCGATAAGATAAATGTAGCTAATTTTTGTTGAATAATGAAGGGGCAAATCCAATGGGCTCATAAACTAATGGTTCTGGGCTCTGAACCAACTCTTATTGGGCTTTTGGTATCTACATGGGCCCATTATGATTATAAATAGACCCAAAAAACTATAGACAATCAGTAGTATGTTTCGAGCCTATATAACCATTAGTAAAGCCCATATAACTCTGATGGAAGGGCCTTTAGGCCCACTACAACTCACCACCAATTTTTATTTTAGTTTTTTTTTCAAAGGAATAACAAAAAAAAAAAAGAAGAAGGAATAATACACAGCGTTAGAAATTAGAAAAGGACGATCCAAAAACTTTTGTTAAAAATAGTGAGTGCACATTTTTTTCAAATAAAAAAATATTAAAAATTAAAAAATTAGATTTATTAAATATTATTTTTTAAAAATAATTATATAAATTAATTAAATTTAAATTTAAATTTAATAAAATTAATACATTTCACCGACACAATGAAAATATAAAACATTTTTGTTTCTTTTTACTTCTAATTTTGAAAACTTCTCATGTTTGATAGATTATTTTAATCGAAAGCCATATGTCCCATATGATCATGTGAGATAACATAATGGATTTGATAATTTGTATATTTATATTGTATAAAATATTAAAATTTATATATTCTTATCATATATTATATGAAAATTATTTATTATAATTTATATCAATATAAATATATAAAATATATTTTTTATTAAATTATAAATAATAATTATTAAAATTTTAAAACGTATTAATTTTATATATTTTATTCATATTATATTCATATCGTATTTTAAATTATTAAATTTACTTAAGAATCTCCGACAACAACGCTTAATCTCTTAATAATACTACTTAACAATGTTTTCTCACCTTCTTCCCGCCCAAAGCCAAAACCCCAACCCAACCACAACCAGCAAAACGAACGACCCCGCCAAAGATTATGTTTCTATTTTATTTCTGATCATTAATGTTTTCCCACCATATAAATATACAAAAATGTTAAAACTTGCATAGATACCACAAACATATACAGCGTGGGGTTCACGTCGCCAGACATCAGATATCCAATGTTTAATGATATATAATATTTTTGGTTTTTGTGATTATTTAACTTGGATTCTTGTAAAAACTTCAGATTTAAGGAAAAGGGCTGTAAATCCAAAACATACGAACTGGCTAGGTCGTCCAACAAAAGGGCTACAATGGAGGCGCTGGCTAGAGGCTAAGGATCAAACCTTTCCAGTGCTGCCCACCTACAATCATATATTATTATGTTTAGGTTTAAATTTCGAAATCTATAATTTTTTTTAAAATTTAAATTATGATTTTTTGAATTAAAAAATTAATCATACATAGAGATATATGAATATATGCACCTGTTAAAACGAATTTTTGTACCTTACAAAATTTCACGGAAAGGAGTTGAATGAAATTAATAATGCAAGGTCCAATTAACATTGTTAATAACTAACAAAATTGGTCCCATGCTTCAAAAGCAAATTTCCCTTATTTGGAAGCAAAATTAAGAGAAATTTTCATTTTTCATTTTCATGGGAAAATTATATTCTGTCATCCACTACTGAACAAAACAAGTCATTTTCTGTTCTCTTTTCAAAGGGAGATTTATGGTTACATCAATACTAGAAATACATGTCACTAGAAAAAGCTTGAACTTTTTTGAAAATGGCATACTTTCAAGGCAAACTTTATGTATATAAAGCTCAAAACTGTATGAAACCTTAATATATGTATATATATATATATATATATATTAAATATGCTGACTTTCTCCCTCCCCTTTTCTTTTTAATTTATTAATTCATGAAAAAGGTGTTTAAATATGCAAAAACTAGTCTTATAAAATTAAAAATTGTTGAAGTAATGAACGTGCAAACTATCCATTCCTCAATCATCAAAATTTCCTTTATGGAAAAGTTGAAGAACAACTCATTGTCATTAATAATGGTCATGCCATGCGTGACAACTCGGTTGCCAATAGCCTACCCTCAAGCCTTTTAAAATTTCCTTTTGATATTTGCATATAGATATAGTTTAATTAAAATGTTTTAGTTCAAATGATTGATTTGAAAAAAAAAAAAATCAGCTAATTATTAAGACCCTCTATTATTGTTGCCACTGATCTTGAAGAATATTCTAGTGGTTAATTTGATAGAGTTATTTATTCATGTCAAAGGAATTAATTATCAAATTTTAGGTAGGTGTGTTTGGAGGAATGGGGCCTTCAAGCAAATATCATTATTTATATTAAATGTTAATTTTGAGTCACGATGCACGCATTACAAAATAATTTCATTATTTAAAAGAATTATAAATGTTAAAATTTAAATTTTATTTATATTAAATGTTAATTTTTTAAAATTTTGTTAATTAAATTGTTTAAATAATTATCCAACTAAAAGAAAAAAAAAAGGAAATAATACTTAAGAAGAAGTCTACTCTTGGCTGCTTAGTTGCTTGTAATGACGACTCTAATGGATGATCAAGACATAACAACAATCCAATCCAAACCAATTCCAATTCCTTTCCAACAATATTGTTGCTTTGGCTGGTTTGAATTTAAATAGATTTGGGTAATTGGTTGAATGAAAAAAAGGATCTTGTTTGCTTTTAATCCAAAGCTTCAATCATGGAAACATATTTATGCTAATCTCAAAGATGTTAACAAAATAATCATGTGATGAATATCAGATGAGATCTTGTTACTTAAAAAAAAAAAAGAAAAAGAATTATCAATGAGAATTATAACTTAGGTTTAACACTATACAATCATTAAAAAAAAAAATCTAATTCCATCCATTTGTAGTAAACTTAAAAAAAAAATTTTGAATGATGAAAATAGCATCTAACAAAATATAAATTAATTAAAAACACTACAAAAAAAAAAAGAAAAAAAAAGTAATCAAGAAACCAAAGTCAAAGTCAAGGAACAGTTTGTAGCTAGCTTCCACTTGACACGCCCGATGGCCGTGCGCTTTTTAGTTAGATTCAAGTTGCGAGCACTGCTGGGGCCTTGGCCAGATTTCAGGCGTATGTTTCTTTCGTACAAGTAGTAAAACATTAGATAAACAATCAGAAAACAAGTTAAAAAGCAGCTGTTTCACTTCATGTCATTGTTTTTCACGAGACAAATGAGAGAAAGGAAGACTTAACTTTGCTCCAATCTAAACGTAACAAGGATTTTGCCTCTTCTGTTTGGCTTCTTCTTCTCTCTCTTTTCTTTGGTCGTAGCTTTCTTTGGGGTTGTTTTAATATCTGAGAATACAAAGGAAAAGGAGATGGATAGTACCAATGAAGCTTCTTCTTATTCGGCTTTGTGATTATATATACACTTTATTCTCTTCCTCTTTTTTCTTCTGGGGTTGCTCCAGCTTCTGCAAAAATAGCAATGGCTGAGTATATCTCTTTAGTCAACAAGGTACCCTTGTTATTTTCACTTAAATTTTCTTTCTGGGTTTTTTTTTTCTTAGTTGGGTTATTAATAAGTTTTTTGTTTTATGAAAAGAAGTGGGGTTCTTTTGAAATGCTTGAAAAAAACTCAAAATTTTGTTAAATGGCCCTGGATTGTGTTGGTTGCTGTTAGAGCTCAATTTTTATTGAAGAAAATGTTTGATTTTTCTTGATTTCCTATTCAAACCTTTTCTTTTCTAAAGTCAGTATTTCAGCTTTGTAAATAATATGTTGATGGGGTTTGAAGGATAACGCTTTCTTTTACCTGTTTGCATGTTTGGTTCTGGGTTTTCTCTTTTTGCTGATTCTTATGCTTGTTTGTATACTTGAATTTAGAGTTTTATATATACTATTATCTATCTGTTTAAAACCAAAATTGCATTTTTTTTTTCTGTGTAAAATCACTAAATTGGCTACTGTTCTAACTTTACTCTTTATATTTTTTTCTATTTCTTTTTTCTTTCCAGGCACCTTTCCTTTTTAGCTTGCCTACTTTACATCAGTTTGAAATATTTCTCATAATATTTTCCCTTATTTTCTACTAAAAATATTTGGTTGCATGCTAATTTTTTTTTAACCTCTTATTGCTATCTCCTTCAATTTTATGATAATTTGGGTTAATATGTTCTCTTTTTCTATGCAGGACACTCTAATTATAAAGCCTTCTAAGAAATCTCCATCTTTCTTGAGGTCAATACTTTTATTGTTTGCTATGGTGTGTGGTGTTTATATCTGTATAATCTGTTTAAAGCAGATAAGTACAGCCACCAAGATCAAATTTCAGAACATCCAAGTCATTGAGAGGCCTTCTTCAGATGGTAGCATTACTACACAATTAGAAGCTCAAATTCCTACCTTGCATTATCCTAAACCTGAAACTTTTAGCAGGTAAGCAAGAATACTTTTATTTTGGATTTTGCTTTTAGTCATATTTTCTCAAGTTTTGCTATTGATATTTGGTCCTTTTCCAGGGGTGAATGCACACGAAATCCGGTACGTTTCTTTGCCATATTGTCGATGCAAAGGTCAGGAAGTGGATGGTTTGAGAGTATGCTAAATAGTCATATTAATATAAGCTCAAATGGGGAGATATTCTATGTAATGGATAGGAGGCAGAATATTTCAACTATTATACAGACTTTGGAGAAAGTATATAATTTAGACTGGTTCAATAGTGCTTCCAAGAATGAGTGCTCTGCTGCAGTTGGCTTCAAGTGGATGCTGAATCAGGTATATAATGTGGTTGAATTTACAATTATGATAGTGACAATTTTCCATTACGATAGATCAGCTATGTGGTCAATGCTTAATCTTGTATTCATTCCTGGCTCAAATATCATTGCTTGTCAGATGTTCTGCCTTATGACTTGAAATTTGATTCACATAGATGGGTAGGTTCATATTTTTCTTATTTTTGTTTTAGTCTTGACCAAGTGATTATATGAAGTTCAAGCGAGAAAAGTGATGGCTTGTTGTCAAGTTGCCAGAATTGAATGAGAGAGGATCAAAGCTAATGATCTATTTGGTATTAGCATGATGCATACACATAAGGGAGTTTAGTCAGTCATAGTTTCAGATACGTTTGTGTTACTGTTTGGTCTATCTTATAATTTTTTTTAATAAATAAAAAAAAAGTTTGAAGAATTCCCTTCTTAAAAGAATTGGTGAGGCTTTGGCTAGGAGACATCTAATTGTCCTTGAATCAAGTTATAATGGAATTTCAGGTAAAATCTTTAGGTAAAGGTGCCCAGTTCAGATTTGCTTGTCTTCTTGTATGATCTGGATCATCTGAGAAAACTTTAGTTATTTCTAGATATCTGATTTTCCCGTCTTCAAATTTTGCACAGTGAAACTAAAATTAAGATGGTCACAATCCTATGTAACAGATGTAAATTATTTGTATTTCAGAGCTGCTTGATGGTCTATAGCTAACTGCTAGACGTATCTTTATACAGGGATTGATAGAGCACCATAAAGAAATAGTAGAATACTTCAATCATCGGGGTGTTTCTGCCATATTTCTCTTCCGAAGAAATTTGCTTCGAAGAATGGTTTCATTGCTTGCAAATTCGTATGATCGCTATGCTAAGCTATTAAATGGAACCCACAAGTCTCATGTTCATTCAACGGAAGAGGTCTCTGTCCCTAGCCCACCCTCTCTCTCTGATGTCTATCACAGACTTACTCATTTTTTCGCTTTTTCCTTCTTGGACAATCTTGAACTTATTGCTAGTCTCGCAATGTAGGCTGCTGTTCTTTCAAGTTACAAGCCAGTAATCAATTCTACATCATTAATAAGTGATCTGAAAGAAGTGGAGATGGCTGCTGTCCAGGCTTTAGACTACTTCAATAGCACCCGTCACATGGTTTTATACTATGAGGATATTGTCACAAACCATACGGTAAGGATTGTAAGGAGTTTTCATGAAATATTTATAGCATTTCCTGAATGTTAAACAATTTTCAAAGATTAAATTACGCGTAATAGTTTCCATTTGGAACTTAGATTCATTAGTTTTCTCTATATTTCATTAACTATGTATCTATATTAATGGTATTTTCACGTAAGCATTCTCTCTAACTTGTGCCTCTGCTCGATATCGATGTTTCTCATGGTTTTACCAGAAGCTAAAAGATGTTCAAGCGTTTCTAGGCCTCCCACAGATGGAATTAACTAGTCTCCAGGTCAAAATACACAAAGGTTCATTATCTGATTCTGTGGAGAACTGGGATGAAGTGAAGAAGACACTAAATGGGACAGAATATGAGAGTTTCCTGCACGCTGACTGCTAAGAAATAAGAATGACTCCATTGCTAACAAAAATAATGGTGTGGATACAATCTTCGGTAATGCTTATATCTGACGCTGACCGGACATTCACCCTGTTTGAAAATTTTGGCTGCCATGAAGGCATGATTGTTCACCATACTGGCAACACTCAGGTGATCAATACCGCGTTGAGCCCTGTACCATTTCTTTTCTTTTCAATTGAATTTTATTGATCATATAGACAGCTTGTATATGTCAGCTAATGAATATTTGGTTGAATCAATTGTTCATCCTTAAATAGTGGTTTTATATATCCTTTCATGTCCATCAGGCTTTTGCATTTTCGGATTACTGTTTTGGTCTTGACTTCTCAGTTACTCCCTTGGTGTGCTACACACACGAAGACCATCAAGATTTGTGAAACTTGACTGGCGAAAAAAAAAAATAAAACTCTTCAATATTTGCTTTAAAAAATTGTTTCACACACTGAAACCATTGCCACTAAAAAGATTGTCATCCTTGTTTTGGTCTCGGTCATACCTAAGTGAAAGGGATGCGATGAACGTGAGCGTGTCTACTTTCATGTTATTGATTGTTTCATTGTTTATGCAAAGGACCCAACATCCATTATAAATCTGTCTCAATCCCCACAAAAAAGTTCTTTTAGCGCTGGCCTTGACTTTAGCTAGACTTCGCAATTAGTGTTTTTTTTTTTTTTTAAATATTAAAATTTATATATTTATATTATATTTTATATGAAAATTATCATAACTTTTATAGATGCGTAAATGTAAAATATATTTTATTTTTATTAAATTTATATATATTAATTATCATAATTTTAAATTATATCATTTTTGTATTTTATTTTTATATTATATTTATATCTTGTTTTTTATCGGCTTGAGTAGGAAATTAACGGTTTTCTCATTTGGACCCTTCAACATGAAACTAGGGCTATTCCTTTCTGGCTTTTTCAAAATGTTGGGCTGCCTTGAATAAGAAACAAATTGTAAACAGGCTTTACAAGCCCAATTTTAGTACATCTTTGCGTTGTCGAAAAAGGATGTGTGCAGTCATACTGTGGACCACGCATCCAGAAAGCAAGGATCTGCAAAAGGCCAGGATTTTCCAATATATTAGTGGATGAGAACTTGTCTTGTCACGATGATAAAAAGGAAGCTCCAAAGGAAAAGCATGAAGTAAAATTACTTTAACTTGCAAATAGATTGTGATAATTTATGTTTTATATTATGTAAAATATTAATAATTTATATATTTGTAAAATATTTTATAAAAAATTATATGTTATAATTTTTATTGATATAAAAATATAAAATATATATTTTGAATTTATTAAATATATATAATTTTTATTAAAATTTTAAATTACATAATTTTTACTTTTTTTTTTCATATTATTTTTATATTATATTAAAATATCATATTTTAAATTATTAAATCTATTTAAAAATAATTTTTAGCTTCTAAAATTCTAACTGGAGATGAGTTCACTTTTAAAAGCTACAAAGATACAAAAGAGGGAGAATGGGTTTAAAAACAGCTAGGATTTCCACTTGGAAACCTGATCACTTTGTCTCAACAAAAACTGTTCATGCTACACGACAAATTAAGCAATAAAAGATTCTAAACATAAAATGTTTTATAAACCTTAAAGGTGAGGAGCTGGGAAGACAAAGTTAATTAAGTACACCATGATATATAAAACTCTAATAAATCAGATATATACAACCAGACCATGATGTTCATTAATTGATTACCATAATTTTTAGTTTTCCTTCGTAAGGATTGTTTTTTATTCTTAATTGATCTTTTAACTTTCTAATCCTTATTTATTTAATTATGTTAAATTTTATCGAATTTGTAACTTTTAAGAATTTATTTGGTAGGTATGCCATCTGAACTAATCTTCCATTGGCAATATTGAATAGATTGTTGGTAGTATTAATTAATCCAACACCAAAAAATATAAGGGTGATTCTGCAGCTTATCACTCTTCAAATGTTAAGAAGAGACGAAAAAGAGATTAAATAAATGATGAACAGTTGCATGGCCCATGCAAAGTACTGTTGTGAGAGTGACTATAAAGTATAAACATAGGCTCTATGTTGTGCGCGCATGTGATGAAGAAAGACGTGAGAATTTTTACTCCTTTATTTACTTTTTGTACATTGTCCCTCTAAGAAATCCTATTTAGTGTTTCACCCCCTATTCACTTGGTCTCTGACCTTCTATAAATTGCACCCTGAGAAGGAAGAGGTCTATAAGCAAAGTTGCTAATAGCTAGGTGAGTCTTCTTCCTTGTTTTCCATACTTCAGCCAAAGCTTTGCTTGGTTAATTGCTTGGCTATCTTCCCTCCCTTTTTCCCACTCATATATACATTCACTAAAACCTCACATTATGGCACAAAACAAACTACTCTCCATTCTTGTTCTCCTTTTACTAGTTTTCTTCTTGGAAATTCAGTGCGTTGTAGGAAGGCATTTGATATTTGACCGAAACCAAAGTTTCCAAAAGGTCAAAACTTACGGTAGAATCCTAGCAAAGGAAACAGGGACAATTCTTGATCCAAAAATTAATGGTGTTAACATTAATAAAGCACCTGTTGCCAACACAAAGTCTCCACCTTCACCACCAAATGTGGTTATAGGAGAAACCCAAGCCCCGTCACCCAAAAATGTAGACGACTTCAGGCCCACAGTTCCTGGACACAGTCCTGGAGTCGGCCATTCCCTTCAAAACTAGGTCAACAGTTTCTTATGGAGCATTACTGCTCCATCTCCATGTTAATCTTCGCATGGCAGACGGATGGTATTTTAACATGAATGATGGCAAAAAGTTCTATCCTGGAAAAACTTCAGCTTATTAATTAGTTTGGTTTCTCTATTTGACATGTCTTTGGTTTCAATTTCAGTTTGAGGTACCTTAAGTTTGAGTATTGTTTGGAAGGGAGGAAAACAGTCATTTGTATTTTGTGTGTTGTAGATAAAGCAGAAATCCTGAGAGAGAGAGAAAAAAAGAAGGATTGAGCTTTTGGGAGGAGAGAGTCTAGTCCAAAACAAAAGAATTTGTTATCTTCCCAATTAGTGTTTGTAAAAATATTTTGTGAATTCAATGAGCCAATGAAATTCATGGGTTTATATAGCTGTTCTTTGCCTAAATGTTACTTTATTAGTACGCAAAACAGTTTTAAAGTATAACACTTTCATTAGAAGTATTTCATTCCTGCTACGACTGGCATATCTATTAAACACAGTATCATTAACTGCGAGATTCAAAAGATTGATGAGCAAAGTGATACAAGGTCACTTGCAATTTCTTTTTATCTCTAACAATTTGCAGTTCGTTATGGTTTGTATTCTGCAACGACTGGCATATCTATCAAATACGTACATATATTTTCTGGACATTATGGTAAACGATCCAAAGGCACTCTTTCAAGGCAAGTATATATAAACCATAGTCCAACACTTCTAGTTACTTGACGGAGTAACTTCTTATTCTTTATTTATGTCACTTAAGATGTCAAACTCTTCTAAGTTGCATGCATTCATAATGACTTGAAGTTCCAATAAAGGATTTGGGGTTTCATATTTAGTGCAATCTTAGAAAAAAAGTGAACATTTTCTTTAGTACACAGAAGGAATTAACATTACTCTATGCATATATGTACTGCACAATACTCTGTACAATGAACCTCGACTCAGATATGTGAAGTATTGCAGTACCTGGAACAGCTATTAAGAATCATAAGATCATATGCATGAGAGATTCCTACTGCTCGAACTGAAGTCTGAAGTCAATTTAACTTTAAAACTGCAAAGTTGCATTTTACAGCCTAGCATGGCTGAGAATCAAATGTTTTTGTTCCCTTGTTGTGACTTTGCGAAGGGTAAAAAAGGTTACTAGCAGTCTCTTTTCTCTGTATATAAAATAGTGCTAAAAAAAGATTCAGCGCCAGAGGCTGGGGACTTCCTCAGTTGGAGGAACCAACCACAAAAAAAAGTCCTTCTGCAGGAATATTCTTCATCACCAATTATTCCACTCTAAGTGGAGGGGTGAAGGGTTTGAGGGATGGCGAATTGAAGCCCATCATTCGCTTCATTTGACTTGATCGACCACGCCAAATGCATGATTTCTTTAGTGATAAATGTAAGTGGGGGGACCTCTCTTATGGTTGGTGCCCTTGACTTTTTGATTAATTATGAGCATGCTGATAGACTTACCAAAATCACAAAATATAAGCATTCTAATAGGTAAGACAAACAATCGATCACACCAATGACAAAGAGTATCGATTCCTTACACAAGCATGAACTATTTAGTTATATATTATGTTATATAATGAATTTGAACTCACAAATTAAACAACAATTAATTCAAATTTTGCATTCCGATTGAAGCTTGAAGTAGTAGTTCCACAGTTGAATAGGATTATTTTTTCAATGATCAATACCAGCAGGCTCCACTGTTAAATTTTAGTACTTTTTGATTTTGTTTAAGTTACCTAATAAAACAGCAAAGCTTTTCAGAGATAATGGACGGATCTCAATTGTTGGTATGACATGCCTTTGATTTTTTTTTTTGGTGGCATGACATGTACTTGAGTTTGATAGAGAAATAGCTTCCACCCCCAGGAGAGTGAGAGAGAGGGAGAGAGAGAGAGAGAGAGAGAGAGAGTCAAACCTCTAGATCAAATTCCATAAAGCTAGCATTGGAGGGTCAAATTTTTGCTTTTAGAAACCTCAAAAAGCAAGATTCATATCAATATGAACTTATGACGCTGATATTTGGTCAAATTCCGGCTGTCCTATGAACCATCCGTTATGACCCGTGATACGACTTTTTCCTTTTTTCCATTAGTGGAAGCTAAATAGAACCCAGTTGTCTTAATTAAAACATTTTCATCACTATAGTGCTTACACTAGAGATTTGGCTTTTTTTTTTTTTGATGCGGAAGAATAGAAACGTAACCCTGATAAATTGGTGGTATTGTTAGGGCAGGGCCCTTTCATTTTAGTGACTCCGGGTGTAAATCTACTGTCGTTGATCAGTTATACTTCTGGCAACAGCTTAGCTCGAGTAATATAATTGGTTGGAAAGGTTAATTTTCGTATAAAAAAAGTTAAGTTGGAGAGAAATGCTCTCCGCTAGTTCCACTTGATTGATTTTTCCAAGGCCGTTGAAGTCTTATGATTTCATTTTGCTAGTCTCGTTTATAATTAGTATATTTTTGTTGGATTGTAGCACTACTACACTAGTAAAGGAATATACTGAGAAATTCATTTTGAGCACCTTTGCCTTTTGGATCAATTGATCATATTTGATACCCTATCAAAAAGCTTATTAAAGCGTCTGTTAAACAAAAATCACCGATGGTGATTCAAGAATATGAACTACATTCAAAGAAATTAAAGGTCTAGTTAATTATTTATGGTTTCCACCAGAAAACCTTTAACACGCTCAGCCCAAATATCATTTCACTTGAATTTGTCGACCAAAAGAGTTCTAAGCTTTGCACAACAGCCATCAGTATATAATAATAATACTATTTATGCATTTGCAAGTGGAGAAGTACAGGAGAATCCCTACCTTTTTGGTGCATTTCGGTGGTGGGTAAACCAAAACGGTTTTCTCTTCTAAATTCTAATGTCTGTCATTAAAAATTTGATTAAATAGATTGCCGTACGTTCTCACCGAATTGAAAAGATAAAACAACATTTCAGCACTATGAAAGGTCAAGGATCGAGCTTCAAATTTCAATTGATAACTTTGTTCTTGAAATTAAAAAAAAAAAAAAGAAGTGTTGCGGTAGCCATTTTTTCACCCTGAAGTTCTTATTTTACTATTATTGTTAAGTGGGGCATAAAGAAGAATAGCCAAAGATATATATGGATGATCTTTTAAAGTTTCTAGAATTCAAACCATCCATTATGCAATTGATGCCACACCACTCGTTCAGGTTTATGAAGAATTAGCGGTTAGGATTCTTAAAAGGGCTTAATTCCTGTAAATCCCAGGGAAGATCAGAAACTCACTCCGTTAAATTGCTTAGTTATACCTTCTTCCCTCTCATCTCTCTCGATCCTATCTCTGGCAATTTGATTAAATTCCCTTGACAGTCATTCAAGTTATTTCCTACTTAATTATGGAATTGAGAGGCACGCATAAGTGTGCTGTTTTTCTTCTTGCAGTTATTGCCTGCAGCCACTTAGTCTTCTTAGTTGAGGGAAGACAAATAAAATTAGTAAGCAAAAATGATTCAAAGCAAAGCAGCAAGACTGACAACTCTGCAATGCACAATGAAGGTCATCTACCAGGAGCCCTAGGTTACATTCCTAATGCTGCCCACTATTCAGTATCAGGAAAGAAAGAAGTATTGCCACCCCCTATACCAACTAAAAGCTCAGATTTTGGTGATTCAGTTAGGGGGTACAAAAATGATTTTCGGCCCACTACACCAGGGAACAGCCCTGGTGTCGGACATTCTTTTGAAGAAGATGATGAAAATATTGAACAACAACCAGGAAGCATTAGCTCGAGTATTGATAAGCATTCTATTGCAGGAGATAAAGAAGATTTCCGACGTACGAACCCAGGGCACAGCCCTGGAGTTGGTCATGCTTTTCCAAGCGAAAATTCAGAACCAAATGCCTAGACATGTCAACGCCCCTGCAGGTGATTTAGGTATATTTCCTCAGTCTCATAATTGAATCAGAAAGAACCTGTTACGTAGGAATTGCATGAGTCCTAGGTCCAAAGACAGAGATTTGAATTCAGCTGTAAAAAAAGTAATTGTCCCAAAAGCAAACTGGTTTGACGCTTGTAACTAGTAGTTATTTATCCATATGTATGTCACTATGTCATGTACTGTCCATTACTCTTTGCAATGTCTTCTTGCAATCATCTTAATAAATTGTTTCTGATATTAAAAAAAAAAAAGACCGCCGCCCATGTGGCGCAGCCGCCATTTTAATCTTAACTACTCACTTGCAAAGCTTGAGTGTTGTTTCTATCAGCCGATGAAATCTCTCTCTTCTTCTGCTGCTTTACATATGATCTAAATTTAATTCAAATAAAGCTTTATGTATATATATGTACGTATGTAGGCGCTTGTATAAATGAGTTCACGAGTGTGTGAGGGGTATCAAATAAAGCATATATATAAAGCTTTTCCATTTGGGGCAAGAAGAATCCTAAGCAATTATAAATTAAGGAACTCCGAAACAGTATGAAAGCTAATATTTAGGATCGGAGTATAATAGCATTAAGAAATGGAGATGAAAAGGGACCCAGCTGGAGAGGAAGAGCCAGTTAAACTCTTTTTTCTTGATTATACTAAGGAGAAAAGGAAGAGTGCCGAAAGTGATCCCTTAGTGCACGTGACATGAATGCCAAAAGCCAACTAACTCTGGCCCTCAGTACAACTGTAGATTTCCATAAATATATATATATATATATATTTTAAAGCAAGACAGAAGATAAATAAATTAACAAAGCCATAATAAAGAGTTCAAAACACAAAAGCAAAGTAGCAAAACAGAATGTATCAGCAAAGTTCAAAAGTAGGAAGACAGAGCTTGAGTTCTTTGATCACCAGATTTTGTCAAACCGCAATTTAGTTAAGTTCCCTAGAATTTGAGAAATGAAAGCAACTTTATTTGAGATTTGAGATGCGCTAATCATTTGGTAATTTTTATTTTAATAAGGTAATTAATGTAGTAAAAGGTTAAGCAGTTAATATAGGACTTTTAATCTGTAAACTTCCCTTCTTAGTTGATAAAGCAGATTACAGCAAACTGAGGGCTATGTTTTTTCTTGTTAACAACAAGTTCAAGACCTAAATCAACTTACTTGTTTGCTCGACCACAGCGACTTAATCAAACCAAGAGGCCCCAAGCTTAGTTCGAGTGCGTGCGTAATACAAACTGACTGCGGAAAGTAGGTTTATTTTAGAACTTGGAAGGAAGCAGCCGCAATCTTTGAAGGGAAGATTCCCATGGAATCTTGTATCCTCACCGTTTACTTGCAAAGATTCCTCGCAAAGAAATCAATAATAAATGTTATCATACGTTCTTAACCACTTTTGTCCTATGGTATGGGGCATCTGACAAGTTGTCAGAAGCCAAAAAATGGAATCCCCAGGCCGGTGCCCCAACCTGCCAGTGTTACAAAACCTTTAATAATCGGTCAAAAACTTTTCCATGTGCGATCATTTTGGGCTTTTAGCAGTAAGTACACTTTAAAGGGAATCTTTGAAGGGAGGATTCCCATGGAATCTTTTATCCTCACCGTTTATTTGCAAAGATTCCTCGCAAAGAAATCAATAATAAATGATATCGTACGTCCTTAAGCACTTTTGTCCTATGGTATGGGGCATCTGACAAATTGTCAGAAGACAAAAAATGGAATCCCCAGGCCGGTGCCCCAACCTGCCAGTGTTACAAAACCTTTAATAATCGGTCAAAAACTTTTGCATGTGCGATCATTTTAGGCTTTTAGCAGTAAGTACACTTTAACAACTGTGGTTGAGATTGACGATCGATATTTAAGCTCAAGTTAATAGATTTTATTTGATTAGCAGAGGGGGAAAAGGGCCTCATAGAGTTTTGGGCCTAATAAATATCCAACAGCTAGCTAATGGTCGTTTTACGTCAGTTTTAAACTATGAACTAAGCACCGACAAGAAAATTACAATAACTTGTGGCTTCCAATTTTATTTCATGAAAATAAAATAAATTTCACATCAATTAAAAATAAAATAAAATGATTAGCTCTTGAACTTCACCTGCAGCTGGGGACAAGAGAAAAAAATTAATTTTCTTTTTTTGTTGAAAAAAATTAAAACATATTAATTACTCAATCTCTTCAATTACGAAAAAATGTGTTTTGCTTCACATAAATTTTATATTTGGAGATTAGCAACAAAAATAGATCAATGATAGAATTGAATCAAAATCACCTACATTGAGAAGAACCAACTTACAACTTCAACTATTCTTTAATTTATTGATGAAAATATGATTTTAGTTGTCAGTTTAGTACTATTCTATAAGCAGTGGAAGCTGACGTATTGTCTTACCTCCTGGAAGGAAAGATTATTAATATAAAGGGCTGGAGGCGGACAATCACAAGTACCAAAATGCTGCCCAAACATTTCTTTTACAATTTTTCATTTACATATATACATGAATGCATTAGGTTCTTCCTTGATACTTGAGACTTGAAAAATAGGTTCTTCCTTGATATTTGAGACATAAAAAAATGCCTGGCATTTTGCTTTTTGAGCCTGACAACCCAAATGCTGCACACTTTCTTTTTCTTTGGTTTTTTACAAATTTTTTAATATTATTTTCGAATCATCTAATCATGTTATATTTTAAATTATAATATATACTTGCAAGCGATTTTTAGCTTCTAAAAAGCTTAGCTAGAGATGAGTTCACTTTTAAAAGCTACAAAGATACAAAACAGAGAGAATGGGTTTAAAAATAGCTAGGATATTCACATGGAAAGCTTAACGCCTTGTCTGAACAAAAACTGTTCATGCTACACAACAAATTAATCAATAAAAGATTCTAAACACAAAATGTTTTATAAACCTTAATGGTGAGGAGCTGGGTTAACTAAGTTAATCAAGTCTTCACTCGGCAACATTGAACAGATTGTTGCTAGTATTAATTAATTCAACACCAAAAAATATAAGGGTGATTTTGCACTATATCACTCTTTAAATGTTAAGGAGAGACGAAAAGGAAATTAAATACATAATGAAATTGCATGGCCCACGCAAAGCACTGTATAAGGGTGATTTTGCAGCATATCATTCTTTAAAAGTTAAAAAGAGACGTAAAGGGGATTAAATAAATAATGAACAGTTGCATGGCCCATGCAAAGTACTATTGTGAGAGTGAATGACTATAAAGTATAAACATAAGCTCTATGTTGTGCGCGCATGTGAAGAGAGACGTGAGAATTTTTTCTCCTTTATTTTCTTTTTGTACACTGTCCCTCTAAGAAATCCTATTTAGTGTTTCACGCCCATTCACTTGGTCTCTGATCTTCTATAAATAGCACGCTGGGGGAGGAAGAGGTCTATAAGCAAAGTTGCGAATAGCTAGGTGAATCTTCTTCCTTGTTTTCCATACTTCAACCAAAGATTTTCTTAGTTAATTGCTTGGCTATCTTCCCTTCCGTTTTTCCACTCATATATTCATTCACAAAACCCTCACATTATGGCCCAAAAGAAACTACTCTCTATTCTTGTTCTCCTTTTGTTTGTTTTCGTCTTGGAAATTCAATGCGTTGTTGGAAGGCATTTGATATTTGACCGAAACCAAAGTTTCCAAAAGGTCCAAACTTACGGTAAAATCCTAGCAAAGGAAACAGGGACAATTCTTGATCCCACAATTAATGGTGTTAACATTAATAAAGCACCTGTTGCCAACACGCAGTCTCCACCTTTACCACCAAGAGTGGTTATAGGAGAAACCCAAGCCCCGCCACACGAAGATGAACACGACTACAGGCCCACAACTCCTAGACATAGTCCTGGCGTCGGCCATTCCCTTCAAAACTAGGTCAACAGTTTCTTACACAGTGCTGGATCTATACTGCTCCATCCCCGTGTTAATCTTTGCATTGCAGACAGATGGTATTTTAACATGAATGGCGACAGAAAGTTCTATCCTGGAAAGACTTCAGCTTATTAATTAGTTTGGTTTCTCTCTATTTGACATTCTTGGTTTCAATTTCAGTTTGAGGTACCTTAGGTTTGATTGTTGTTATGTGGCGTCTGGGTTTTTCAGGCCTTACTTTGTATCAACTTTTCATTATTAATAAAAGTTTGGTTTGACAAAAAAAATGGTTTGGGTATTGTTTGGAAGGGAGAAAATAATCATTTGTCTTTTGTGTGTCCTAGATAAAGTTGAAATCCTGAGAAGAAAAAAAAAAAGGGGATTGGGTTTTGGGAGAGAGTCTAGTCCAAGACAAAAGAATTTTATTATCTCCCCCATTAGTGTTTGTAAGAATATTTTGTGAAATAAATGAGCCCATGTGTTTTTATAACTCGTTCTTTGCCTATTGTTACTTTATTAGTACTCCATCGGCTTATTACGAAACTCAAAACAATTTTAAAACATATCACGTCCATTAGAAGTATATCTTTTCCGCTACGACTGGCATATCTACATACAATATCATTAACTGCACGATTCAAAAGGTTGAAGAGCAAAGTGATATAAAGTCACTTGCCATTCCTTTTTCACTCTAATAATTTGCAGTTCCTTATGGTTTGTATTCTGCAACGACTGGCATATCGACCCAGGCAAATGCATGATTTCTTTAGTGATAAATGTAAGTGGAGGGACCTCTGTTTTTGTTGGTTCCGTTGACTTTTTGATTAATTATGAGCATGCTGACATACTTATCAAAATCACAAACTATAAGCATGCTAACAGGTAAGACAAACAAACGATCATACCAATGACAAAGAGTATGGATTCCTTACACAAGCATGAACTATATAGTTATATATTATGTTATATAATGAATTTAACCTCACAAATTAAACAACAATGACTTCAAATTTTGCATTTTGATTGCAGCTTGAAGTAGTAGTTCCAAAGCTGATTAGGATTATTTTTTCAGTCATCAATACCAGCAGACTCCACTGTTAAATTTTGGTGGAGTATTACATATAATTAAACAACAGAAAAAAAAATCCATTTATTGTTAAAAATCGAATAAAAGAATGAGGCATGCCCATGTGATTATCCTTGCTAATCGTAATAAAAAAAACTATACATACACACACCGTAAAGATTAGAATTATAAAACAATAATAAATCTAAAAATTAAAGCATAGAAAGGATTGAAAATAAATAAAAATCTTGATTAGGTTTTTGGTTCTCACGTGCGCTCAAAAATAGTGATAGATTGATCGTTAAGTTAGTTTTAATGACTGCTATTTGACTTACTTTTGATACCTCCCTTGGATTCATTAGTAACGATAATAATATATTCTCTAATTTAATCTTAAAAAGGAATTGCTTTAATTAAATTAAGGGTTTTCGTAGGTTCTCGTAAATGTGCCCACTTACTTTTCTATTTATTTAATGTTTAGTTTGATCTTACACGAGAGAGATAGAGAGAGGCACTAAACCTTTTGGGATTTTCAACCATAAAAGTTGCAAGTTGAAGCATGCATTGCTATATACGAGTTTAATTTAATCCTTTAAATATCACATATTATAAGTAATTGCACAAAATTAATTTATTTAAATCTCGAATTTAAGTAATTATAAGTAATTGCACAAAATTAATTTAGTCAAATCTCGAATTTAAGTAATTAACCACTTTTTCCCTTATATAAACAGTATTAAACTAAAAATATTTTTTCTAGCTTGATGTTGTAAGTACCACATTTCATTTAATTTTGTTTTGTGCAAAAAATAATTTGATCACCACTCTTTCAACTGACAGACTACAGATGGTATTGGACTCTGATATTTTTGGACTACAATTTGATCACCACTCTATTTTTGGACTTGTTTGTGGGATGAGATAATGGTATCGCCTTATCTCTTATCAATGAAAATCTATTATTGGCTGAGAAAAAAATAGAGAGATTAAAATGTTGGATTAGAATATTTATCTCTTGGAGGGGTTGAATGCTTTTGTATATATTGAGAATTTTGATTAGTTGATAATTCATTTTGAACCAAACTTTAATTCTTCTTTCTATTTCACCATAAAATAACTATTTTTAAAGCAAAAAAAAAAAAAAAAGCATATCACCTAACAATCTGATACCATTATGCTTATAAAGATAGTACAATTTATTGAAGTGGGATTATGGTGCGCCAACCCCAACTATACATGTCTCATGGGATCATATATGTATCAAGGTAGCTTAAGATCTCACCTAACCTCAACTCATATCTCTCTAGATTGCAAAATTCATCATAAAAATCCATTATAATTAAGAAATAAATATTTTAAATAATTATCAAACTAAAAATTTCACAACCGATATATATAAAATAATATATTCTTTGTTTATAATAAATTCATCCAACTCTTATGATGTAAACTTGAGATTTTCGTTGCCATTTTTTCCTTTTATCCCTCTTCATTTCGGCTTGGCTCAGACAATGAGGTCGAACCAATACTTTCTGTATTATGCAGGCCACAATAGGAATCCATGATTAATCTAGAAAGTGATTCTATGCAATAAATATTTTATATCTTGGGCTTTGTAGTCCAAGGGCTGTTTCTGCTCATGTAGGCTCATGTTAGCGGATAAGTTGGTCATGTAAGGTCAACTTCTTGGTCCGGTTTATGCTCCAAGCAATGTTAAAATTTCATAAAAAGTTGTCTAGATTTACCTTCCTATTACAGGAGTCAACCAATTCACATTTGTATATATTTTTAAGCCCATTCTTATCTTTATGGGCCCAAAAAATTTCAACGTACAGTCTACTGTCAAGGGATCAAAGGACTAACCATTAAATTCCTGCCAAGTAGCCGACCGAAATGTAACCTTGTTTTTAATTTCTTTTTAATTTATTGATTTCCTCCTTTTAATTGTTTGAAGGTCCTTTTGAAATTTGGATGCTTGCTGGGACACCAAATGGGGCCTGAATTAACCCTCTTCAACTAGTTGTTTTACGCGTAAGCTTTGATAAAAGGCATAGACAAAACATTCAACTTTTGGCAAGTCATTCAAAGCTAAACATGCTACAACGTACAAAGAGGAGATTTTGATGGGTGTTCGGCTTTTGGCCCAACGAGTTGCGCTTAGGGACGTCAATTTATTAATGTTAAATAAAAATTTTTGAATTTTTTATTTATATAAAAATAAAGGTAGATATTATATTATGAAGATTAAGATGAACATGAGTATGGATATAAATATAATTTTAAAATTTTTTATTGAATATAGAGATGAAGACGGATAATATAATACTCCTTTTGTATCTTTACACATACTTTACATATATGTTTATATATATTTAGTAAATTTATTTTTTTATTAAATAATATAAATTATTATTTTAAATTAATTAAAATTAATATATTTTTATTTAAAATATATACTAATATATTTATATAAAAAATTGCATAAATATGTAAGATACAATTTTTTTAAAAAAAGTTAAAAAAAATATTTTGATTTTTTTTTTTTAAGTTATGGTTATCAAGATTACTCGTACTTATTAAATATCCAAGGGAATAGAGATAGTGATAGATTTGAAAACATTCATTAGATATGATATAGGGATAGATATAATATAAAATTTCAAAGATAGGATGAAAATCTTTTATCCGTCCCATATTTTACCTATTAACATTTTTATTGCCGTTATATTGGGAGAGTAGAAAAATAAAAAAATTATAAGTAGCTTATGTGGTAGCTTATATGGCATCTAATCTTGTAGGAAATCATTTTATATATATGCTATTTAGAGTGATAATAGTTTGGATTTGATTGAATTTAGTTTAATTTTTTTGAATAATGTATAAATTTATGAAATTTTAAATTCAATTCAAAGTCAAACTCAAGTTTCATATTATCTGAATTGAACTAGATCTAAATTGAATTTTATCAATGCGGTTTAGTTCATTGATTTTTAAATTTTTATATATTATTTTAATATAATTTAATATATTTAAATAAATTTGAGTATAAAATAAATAATTTTATTTTATAAATTTTTTTAAAAAATATAGATATTAAAAATATATAATTTGATTTTGTTCGATTTTTTTATTTTTCAGTTTTGAATTTAAATATAATATATATTTAATATTCAAATTTATTCCAAATTGAATATAAAAAAATCCAAACCGACTCAAATACTATAATTTTTAATCAGTTTTCAATCTTTTTAATTTTTTTCTCAACGTTCGGATCTAAGATCCGACCCAACATAAAATAATATTTAAACCTAAACCAATCGAGCTTAATAAGTAAGATGGAGTTGGTTTTGAGGTCACTCGAAACATTTGCACTTGCATATCGCTTATTTGATATAGTGCTTACAGTCTGAATAATTTTCGTTTATTTTAAAAGACAATTAGGAGGAAGAGTAGAAGAGTATGATTTTTATTAAAAACATGGGTTTACAAAGCAAGACCAGTGCAAAGGTAACAGTACAGCAACGAGAAAATAAAACATGTAACAATAATCGATCTAGTTGTTCTTTTCATTTGCCTTACCGGAGCCTAACCAGAACTCTAGCAGCCATGGCACTGTTCGATAGGGTTGCATCCTAGAAAAAATAATTAAACAAATAAAACAGAAAGAATCCATCGGAGGTAGAACTGATCGATCTAGTTGTTCTTTTCATTCGCCTTACCGGAACACTTGCCGCCACAGCACTGCTCGTTAGGGTTGCATCCTAGATAAAATAAAAATAATGAATAAATAAATACAAAAAACAGCAAAAAAATTCCATCGGATGTCATCTGATCGATCTAGTTGTTCTTTCATTCGCCTTACCGGAGCCCTAGCCGCCACAGCACCGTTCGTTAGGGTGACATCCTCTCTGGTATCCGGAAGCGGGCGGTGGGCAGT